GAAGAGAGCCAACAGCGAAGAGAAGAGAGAAGCAAGGTCGCGTGTCGCTCTTTTGTTGTCTGGGGCGTGGTTCCCCAGGGGGCGTCTCAGGTTTCCCAAGGGACTGCCTTTCTAAACTTAATGTCTAAAGAAAAGAAATCTATTTGCGCGTATTATAATCAAACATCTTCCACAATCGAACCTCAATGGTCAGACGGTTGTACTGTTCTAAGCATTTGATAACAGGAAACAATTGTCACATTATTGGTCAGGATATTTATACATTTAACGGCATTTCCGACGAGGGCATGTAATACTTATTTCGTCCACTTGGGGGAGCTCAGGTTACATGAGGAAAGCTTGGATTAAATCAAAGATTGTCTCTCCTTAGGAACTGGGAATATTGTTGATTCATCCTTAAATTCAAGCTGGCGATTAAGAGTATAGTAAAACATTTCTTTGTCATCATTTCTAAAGGAATTTTGTAGGAAAGTATTATGAACAAGCATTGATTAGATCAGATGAAGGGGTGTCTTGCTGAAAATAAAAACACTGCACAAGTAACTTCTTTTCAGCACTAATATCAACAACAGATAGCAACAACAGTTAACATAACTACTCAAATAGAGGCAAACGTAATCAGGTAACTAAAGATTTAATTAACTTAATTAAATGCTTTGAGTCTTTGGAGACTGCAGTCCTTTTTACATTGAAAGTTGTCTGGACCATGTCACACTTGGGTGAGACAGGGGTTTTCCTTTTTGATGTGGTAATAAACAAAGAATAAGGTCAGTTGCAACGGAAACGTGTGTGTGTGGGGGGGGGGGGCAGTTTTGATAGGCTGGTCAGGGAAATGCCAATGGCTGGTTCGTGTCTCTTTGTCAGTTTAACAGTCAGGCCCTGCGTTATCAGCTTCGGAATCAAAAAGGTGCCAGTTTTATGGTCGGGATAGCAACTTTGACCCCTCCCCTTCTTCTCTGGGGAGGAGAAAGGAATTTAGGGTAGCTCCAAATTTATTCAATGTAAAATGTTCAAATCCACACCGTTGTTCACTACAAGGTCTTCTCTTGAGCGATCTTTCACCACCCTGAGAATGGGTGTCCTTGATGTAATTATGTTGTGTTTTTGTGCTAAACTGCAAAATGTTCAAAATTCATACAGATTGTTCATAAAGTGAAGGAACATAAATAAAAGTTGTTTTCCTGCACAAAATGTGTGTCACTTTACTTAAAGCAAACAATTACGTGTTATAAGGTCGTACAATTAGTTCATATGGTATTATGTCCACCTGTAATATATTATACAGGGATAGATATTTTAACATCTTACTTAAAGCAAACAAAGACATGCTATATAACTTTAAACATTACTATAAGCTATTATTCCATTTTATATCACTAATTGTAAATGGTGACTAAAGTGTATGTTATGAGTTGTATTTTTGCCCTGTAGGTTTCTGAGTTTTGCCATTGTTTCGTGTGTCCTTCTGTTTGCCTCTGTTTCTCTCATTTAAGTTCAATGTTAGGGTTTAGTTTTGGTCTATGCACTTCTGTGGTATTTTGCCCTTGTTCTGCTCTGTGTTCTCTTTAATCCCAGCTTCAGTCTCTGTTCCTTGTTGGTGTTAGTTTAGTGATGATATGTCCGATGGTGTCTGGATTAGTTGAATCTTTATTTGTAGAGCACTTTTCAAAAACAAGTTACAAAGTGCTTTAACAAGTGTAAAGACAATAATACCCCCAAAACAATAATACAAAAACAATACAAGATAAAAGCAAGAAAACACTGAAAAGACTAAAATACACGTTTAAGATCAATATAAAATTAGTAAAATACATTAAAATAAAAGGGATAAAATAAAGTCAAATAAGATCGGGAAAGGCTCTCCTATAAAAGTATGTTTTAAGAAGGGACTTAAAAGAGTTCACTGACTCAGCCGACCTGATTTCCTCGGGCAGGCTGTTCCAGAGCCTCAGGGCCCTGACTGCAAACGCTCTGTCCCCTTTAGTTTACAGTCGAGACTCTGGAACAGATAGCAGACCTCTGCCCGAGGATCTCAAGGTACGTGCCGGTGTGTATGGGACTAAAAGGTCAGAAATATAACAAGGCGAGAGGCCATGAAGAGCTTTAAAAGTGATCAATAAAATTTTAAAGTCAATTCTAAAACATACTGGGAGCCAGTGTAGTGAAGCTAAAATAGGGGTAATGTGGTCATATTTCTTTGTTCTGGTTAAAATCCTGGCAGCTGAGTTCTGGACAGTCTGGACTTGATCAGTAGGATTTTTGGGATAAACAAGTGAAAAGGCTGTTGCAGTAATCCAGTTGTGATGAGATGAAGGTGTGTAAAATGGTCTCGGTGTCCTTAAAAGTTAACATAGATCGAATTTTTGCTATATTTCTAAGTTGATAAAAACATGATTGAACAAGCTTTGTGATGTGCTGCTCGAAATTTAAATTACTATCAAACCAGACACCAAGGTTCTTTGCAACAGGCTTAATGTGATTTACTAGGGAACCAGCAGATGGCAGTATTTGTTTTGCCATCTGCTGGGACCCGATGACCAGGATTTCTGTTTTGTTGAGTTCAGCTGAAGGAAATTATTTGACATCCATTTTTTAACTTCACAAAGGCAGTTGTTAAGTGAACTCAGCATTCCAGGGTCTGTGGATCTGACGGGCAAGTACATTTGTGTCATCAGCATAAATATGAAAAGAAATGCCATGTTTATGGATAATATGTCCAAGGGGAAGCAGATACAAGGAAAACAAAATGGGTCCTAAGGCCGATCCCTGAGGCACACCAAATTTAACTGGACAGAACGAAGAGACATAGTTGTTTACAGACACGCAAAACTTCCTATTTGACAGGTAGGATGAAAACCATTCTAGGGCAGTACCAGAGATCCCCACCCAGTGCCTCAGTCTGTCTAACATGATGTTGTGATCAATGGTTTCAAAAGCAGCGCTAAGGTCCAGGAGTACCAGGACTGAGCACATACCTTCATCAGCAGACATTAAAAGGTCATTGGTGACTTTAAGTCTCAGTGCTGTGGTACTTCCTGAAACCAGACTGAAACTTTTCAAATTTGTTATTTTCCAGTACAGTGAGCAGCTGTTTGGACACAATTCTTTCTAGAATCTTTGCAATAAAAGGCAGTTTTGAAATTAGTCTAAAATTTTGTTGGAGGGAGGGATCTAAACCAGGTTTCTTTAAAAGTGGGGTTCACGCAAGCTGTTTTAAAATAATCAGGGACACAAACAGTAGATAGGGAGCTGTTGAAAACAGAGATCAAATGGGGCCCAACAGAATCTATTACTTTCAGTAAAAACTTTGTAGGTATTACATCATGTGGGCTGGAGGACACTCTCATTTGTGATACTGTTTTTAAAAGCTCAGACAAGTTGATGGGATAAAACTGGTCAAAACTCTCTTGTTGCTGGTGAGGAATCTCTGAGTAAGAGGCCATGGGGGTAATAGAGGCTCTGATTGACACCACCTTATTGGTAAAATATGATAAAAACAATTCAGTCATCATTACTTCCAGCTGAGGCACAAGGAGGGGTTGGGTTTACCAGCTGATCCACAGTCTTAAACAGAAACCTGGGATTGTGTTTATGTGTAGTAATGAGTTCAGAAAAATAGTGTGTTCTCGCATCCTTAACCATGTTATTGTAGTTAATTAATAAATCCTTCAGACTGAAGTAATGGACTTGGAGACTGGATTTTTTCCATCTGCGCTCTGCTTTCCTGCATTCCCTTTTTAGGCTGCGAATAATGTCATTTATCCAGGGTTGCTTACTAGCTTTAAATGTAGGCCTAACCTTTAGAGGAGCAGTAATATTTAGTGACAACAAGCAGATATGATTGAAGTGATCATTAAAGATGTGAGAACACACAGAGCTTGGTGAGGCGGCATGAGTAACAGGTGAATCGCAGCTAAAAACAATACATTTGTGGTCAGATATGGTAATGTCCACTAATTCCACAGAGGAAATGCTGTCACCCAGGGTAAAAACCAAGCCCAGTGTATGACCACGGTTATGTGTTTGCCCTTTGACATGTTGTTTGAAGTTAAAAGAAGTGGCCATATTTAAAAAGTAAGTTGCATTAACATTGTTGGGGTCATCAACATGAATATTAAAATCGCCATAAAGAACAACTCTGTCATAATTTAAAACCAGAGTAGATAAAACTCAGGAAGTTCTGATAAAAATCCTCCAGGTGATTTTGGGGGGCGATAAATTATAACAAATATGATAGGTTGCAGCCCTCCAACTTTAAGAGTGAGAACTTCAAAGGAATTAAATTCATCACTGTATACTTGATGACATTTATTATTGTTTGTTGGAATAAATCTCCTTTGAACTGTACCACCTCTGCTTTGCGTCCTGCATTTGGGTCCTCCAACCCACTCCACACCACAAACCCTAACAGTGTATTCATAACGAGGCAGAGTCGGTGGTTATAATGTGTTATGGAACATGGTCGGAGATTCTTGCCGCACATTGACATAAACTGGTATTAATATTAGTTATAAAACATTAAATCAAAAGGCCATAATACGCTATGAACTTTGCTATAGCGCCTGATGCATGTTTGTAAGTGATTATAACAATTGTTATAATGTCTTATGGACGCATTATATTGTGTTATAAATATATGCATAAGTCATTATAGCAAAGACCTTCATAGAAAGTGTTACCAGTTTCAGCTCTCTAAAGTTAGTTTTCATAGTGCAGCAAACAGCAAATAACTTCTTCTACCTGGAAGATAAGATATCAATCTCAGAATATATAAAACCTGCTAAAACATCTTCTCAGGTCATACTCACCTGTAATATAATGAATGTGATTTTTAATATAATTTTATTTTTAAATGTGTTTAATGGCCCAAAACAAGTGAAATTACTGGTATGGTCTGTTAGTAAAGATCTTCATTAGGTAAGTAGTCAAATATTACATACCATTGCTTTATTTTGCAATAATATCAATCTATCGCCAGGGTGACAGAAGTTTCAGATGAGCTGTGTGGCAGTGGGAACTACACAGCAGAGATGAGTCTGAACCTGGGGAGAGGTGTAGAGCCTGGTGATGTTGTGCCTGCCATGGGCAACCTCAGAGTGGTCATCAACTTGAAGACAAACAACAGTCGGATAAACCTTGATGTCACCTCATGTTGCCTGTCTCCAACCATCCAGCCTGACCTCAACAACTCCACCTGCTGCCTTTTCTCCAGGTACACAGGAATGACTGAAACAGACTGAAGAGAATTTTTTGTTGTATGTTAAGATGGGTGGGGTTTGCTGGCTTTTGATTTTAGGGTAAATGTTTCATTCAAGCCAAATAATACGACGACAAATAGCTCAGAAAAATGTACAGTTGCTGGTCATATAATTAGAATATCATCAAAAAGTTGATTTATTGCAGTAATTCCATTCAAAAAGTGAAACTTTGATATTGTATTCAATCATTACACAGATATAGACTGATATATTTCAAATGTTTATTTCATTTAATTGTGATGATTAAAACTGACAACTAATTAAAATCCCAAATTCAGTATCTCTGAAAATTAGAATATTACTTAAGACCAATACAAAAACAGGATTTTTAGAAATGTTGGCCAACTGAAGAGTATGAACATGAAAAGTATGAGCATGTACAGCACTCAATACTTAGTCGGGGCTCCTTTTGCCTGAATTACTGCAGCAATGCGTCGTGGCATGGAGTCGATCAGTCTGTGGCACTGCTCATGTGTTATGAGAGCCCAGGTTGCTCTGATAGTGGCCTTCAGTTCTTCTGCGTTGTTGGGTCTGGCGTATCGCATCTTCCTCTTCACAATACCCCATAGATTTTCTATAGGGTTAAGGTCAGGCGAGTTTGCTGGCCAATTAAGAACAGGGATACCATGGTCCTTCAACCAGGTACTGGTAGCTTTGGCACTGTGTGCAGGTGCCAAGTCCTGTTGGAAAATGAAATCTGCATCTCCATAAAGTTGGTCAGCAGCAGGAAGCATGAAGTGCTCTAAAACTTCCTGGTAGACGGCTGCGTTGACCTTGGACCTCAGAAAACACAGTGGACCAACACCAGCAGATGAGATGGCACCCCAAACCATCACTGACTGGAAACCTTTCACTGGACTTCAAGCAACGTGGATTCTGTGCCTCTCCTCTCTTCCTCCAGACTCTGGGACCTTGATTTCCAAAGGAAATGCAAAATTTACTTTCATCAGAGAACATAACTTTGGACCACTCAGCAGCAGTCCAGTCCTTTTTGTTGTAGCAAACCTAAAATTTAGTTATGCAATTTAATAAATTTATGAGAACTGATACCCAGTTATGAATTTTAATATTCATAAAATCAAACCAGATTCCTCGTTTCAGGGCACCACCGGAGTTGTTATAATCCTAGCCTCCGGACCTCTAGGTAGTTTTAATAATTATACAATTATTACTAGTGATCAGTTAGTTAATAATCGCTCAATTATCTTAAATCAGTCAGTCAGTCTCATATCTAAAGGGTCAATTCTCTTGGCAGGGACGTAGAAATAGGCAACACACACAGTTCTTGATAATATTACAGTGAATTTATTCTCTAACTAATGTGATAAAAAGATGGTTGGATACAGGGAAATTAAACAATTGCTGAACAATGAGAAATGGATTGTGGGAAGCATTTGACTCATACGGCATAGAAGAACTAATGAAAGTAAGCTAACGCTATGAGTTTAGGAGTTAAAAAAAAGGAAATATCTGATCATAGAATATGTGTTAAGTCTTACTGCTTGTCGACAGCCTGCTTTTGGCCTGTTGCACGGGTCCCACGCTAGCTGCCCGATCCTGGCTTTTTGCTAGGGATTCTCCGGGGTTCTCCGTGTCTGATTGAAAACCACATGGCTTGGTCTGACCTTGGTGAAGTTGGCTCGACGAAAAAGGCTTAAAATGGAACTTGGTCGTTCCTGAATTAGTCCAGTGTAACTTAACGGACTGATAACTTTAACAAAACAAAAGAAATAAAGAAAATAAAAACAAACTGAAGGGCAGCTCGATGTCTCGGCACTTCATGTGTGTAGCTTCAAGCGAAACAAAAGGCCTGTTTCGCTGGTCGACTCTGAGGGCGTTGCCTGGCGAGGCACGCCGACGCGTGCTGAAGCATCCACAGAGCCGAGCAGAGCAGCGGAGAGAGCAAAACGAGTGGTCTTGTGTTGCTCTTTAGTTGCCTGGGGCGTGGTTCCCCAGGGGGCGTCTCAGGTTTCCCGAGGGACAGCCTTTCTAAACTTAATGTTTAAAAGAAAATAAATCTATCTGCACGTATTATAATCAAATATTTTCCACAATCGAACCTCAATGGTCAGACGGTTGTACTGTTCTAGGCATTTGATAACAGGAAACAATTGTCACATTATTGGTCAGGATATTTTTACATTTAACGGCATTTCCAACGAGGGCATGTAATACTTATTTCGTCCACTTGGGGGAGCTCAGGTTACATGAGGAAAGCTTGGATTAAATCCAAGATCGTCTCTCCTTAGGAACCTTAAGAGTATAGTAAAACATTCCTTTGTCATCATTTCTAAAGGAATTTTGTATGAAAGTATTATGAACAAGCATTGATTACATTAGATGAAGGAGTGTCTTGCTGAAAATAAAAAAACTGCAAGTAACTTTCTTTTCAGCATTAATATCAACAACAGATAATAACAACATGGTAACATGTCTACTCAAATAGAGGCAAACGTAATCAGGTAACTAAAGATTTAATTAACTTAATTAAATGCTTTGAGTCTTTGGAGACTGCAGTCCTTTTTACATTGAAAGTTCAGTGTCTGGACCATGTCACACTTGGGTGAGACAGGGGTTTTTCTTTTTGATGTGGTAATAAACAAAGAATAAGGTCAGTTGCCACGGAAACATATGTGGGGGGGCCAGTTTTGATAGGCTGTTCAGGGAAATGCCAATGGCTGGTTTGTGTCTCTTTGTCAGTTTAACAGTCAGGCCCCGCGTTATCAGCTTCGGAATCAAAAAGGTGCCAGTTCTATGGTCGGGATAGCAACTTTGACCCCTCCCCTTCTTCTCTGGGGGAGGAGAGAGAAATTTGGAGTAGCTCCAAATTTATTCAATATAAAGTGCACAAATCCACACCGTTGTTCACTACATTGTCTTTAGCCCAGGCGAGACGCTTCTGACGCTGTGTCTTGTTCAAGAGTGGCTTGACACAAGGAATGCGACAGCTGACACCCATGTCTTGCATACGTCTGTGCGTGGTGGTTCTTGAAGCACTGACTCCAGCTGCAGTCCACTCTTTGTGAATCTCCCCCCACATTTTTGAATGGGTTTTGTTTCACAATCCTCTCCAGGGTGTGGTTATCCCTATTGCTTGTACACTTTTTTTCTACCACATCTTTTCCTTCCCTTCGCCTCTCTATTAATGTGCTTGGACACAGAGCTCTGTGAACAGCCAGCCTCTTTAGCAATGACCTTTTGTGTCTTGCCCTCCTTGTGCAAGGTGTCATGGTCGTCTTTTGGACAGCTGTCAAGTCAGCAGTCTTCCCCATGATTGTGTAGCCTACAGAACTAGACAGAGACCATTTAAAGGCCTTTGCAGGTGTTTTGAGTTAATTAGCTGATTAGAGTGTGGCACCAGGTGTCTTCAATATTGAACCTTTTCACAATATTCTAATTTTCTGAGATATTGATTTTGGGGTTTTCATTAGTTGTCAGTTATAATCATCAAAATTAAAAGGAATGAACACTTGAAATATATCAGTCTGTGTGGAATGAATGTATACATTATACAAGTTTCACTTTTTGAATGGAATTACTGAAATAAATAAACTTTTTGATGATATTCTAATATGACCAGCACCTGTATTTTCCTGTAGTTTAAAAACTAAATATAGATATGCAGAGTCAGCAAATACAGCAGTAACACAGTGGGAAATTTACAGTACATTTACTGATCTATGGGAAGCCATCTGGACTGCATTTCATGAAAATAAACAAGCCCTCAGTCTTTAATAGCAGGTGTTTTTATTTCATATGCTGCCTAATATGGTTGAAATTGGACTGAGGTTTTCAAAATGAATGGCAAAACCTGACTTTTGGTTTTTATAAACATTATAGAAATACTTCCATTCATCTTTAACTGCCTTCACACAGCCTGGCCAGACTGTCATTGCTTACAAATGTGTTTACTAGAGAAAGAGTGCTTCTATAATTCATATCAATCCAGGAAGTTGCAGGTCAATTTTTAAGAGCTGAATATTCTCTGCTCAGTAAACAGAGGACTGTTGCAGGATGATGGTGTTATCTCCGTGAGCCAGCATCTCAGATAGATGGAAATTCACTGTACTCCCGCACACTGAGAGAAGCAGTCGTATAAATGCACAACCTCTAAAATATGTCAAAATGTGAATAGGCTGGCTGTTATACAGTGTATGTAAACACTTTGTATCTCTTCTAGGTGGGATGAATGACAATGGCTAAACATTCAATGTCAGCCTAAAATCATTACATATCTCTCCTTAGATGCTAAGTAAACTAGCCAAACATTAGCATACTGGTAAATAAATTCCAGATGCTAATGCTAAATTTAAATAGACAACCTATTAACATTATGCACCATGAGAAATGATGCTAATCTGACAGCAACATAAAGTGAAAGCTGACCTTTATCTAACATGATATCTTTTCTCATAAGCTTTCAACCAAATTCAATATAAATGATTAATAGATAGCTAGTCTGTGCTTTTTTTCCTGCTTTCATGTTTATTGATCACTACGGATTCAAAGGCTGTTGGCAGCTGTATTGACATCTTTACCTACAAGATATTTTAAATTTTACCATTTCTGCTTAAACATTTGACTATTTCCTTCAAGGGAAAATTACTCCGATAAGGTTATACTGTGTGTTTGTGTTGCCGCCTCAGGTTAGCAGCGGAACCAGCGGGGATCACACTGCTGCCCAGTGCCCTGTCAACCAGTGCCAGCTTCACCATCAGTCTGTTCCAAATGATTAATTACTCAGTAGTGTACCTACACTGCGATCTCAGTGTCTGCCTGAGGAACGGCTCTGACTGTGAAAGGGTAAGGATGCAGTGGGTGCAGTGTAATGATAGTGAGAGGATAAGAGAATGAGCAGCTGAGAGTGATTTAAATTTAGTGTCAAGGGGTGTGACACTGTGAAAACAAGTTGATGTAAATGGGCTGGGGAGATGAACAAGACGGGTGACTAAGGTGGGTGAGGAACTGGAGAAGAGGTAAATTAATATATGGCCATATACGATAGAAAAAGTAGGAGAGGAATTAATATTTGCAAGCAAGAGATACAAGGAAGGTGTATTATAATTAAAATATCCCGCCAGAGGTACAGAAAGCGCTTTCTAAATGTGAAGAGAGGGAGCTCTACCTAGTATGACTGAGACTGACAGCCAAAGACATGCAAACTTAAATATCCATCATGTCATTATGCAGGAACAGAAGGACAGAAGTTTCAGAATAACACTTGCAGAGTAGCATAGCATGCTTATACCGACTGCTGTCTCCTGTTGTGGGAATGTGGTCCCTGATTTAATGGGAAAAACTGAGTCATCTGACATTTACACATGAGAGGGGAGAGCTGAAACAAAGGATAAACTCTGGAGACTCATTGTGATGTTTCCCTTTGCGGAGCACTTCTTCTCTTCTCTTGATGATGTTTCTAGTGTCTGCCCTGTTTTCTAGTACTGCAAAGACCAGTATTTGTTTGTTTGCTTTTTGCGGCGGGTAACGGCCATAATAGGTGCTTGCGCTGGTTTACTGATGTCAAAAATGCATTGCTATAACAAGACATATATACTTAGAGTGTGAACTGTCATGTTTTTCCACATAATCCGCAACATTTCTTTGTGTACATCCATCGTTCCTTGAAATTGTGTTTCTTTCTTGGCACTTGATGTCAGGCTACATATTTTCCTGACACATTTCATTTACATAAGAGCTATATATTATATTTCAACTACCTTCTTTGAACTGCTCCAACTCAGAGTGGGCCGCTTAGATTAAAAGAGAGAGTGTTGCTTTCAAGCTAAAATCCTATTTCCAGCTCTCTATTTGAAACAGATGTTTCTTCTCCTGCCCTTTTATCCCCCCAAAAATACCACAAAGAAAACAGATTTGGGCCATATTTATCAGAGACGTGCACCTGTACTATTTCAATTACTACTTCTGTGCATTGTTCCCTCGATTTTCAATGATAATCATGAACACCATCCTTCTTCCAAAAAGTTAATTACCTGTTTGTGACTTCATCATTTTTCATACTCACATGAGACATATTTCCCTTGTCTTTTTAAAGCAGTGCCTTCAGCAGAGGAGTGCATTTTCCTTAGAGGGTCCAGAGGCTGTTGTCACCAATCTCAGGAATCGTATATCCTTTGGTCCCATGTTGAAAGACGTGAAGAATTCTACTGTCCCGGAGGAGATAGGTAATTATTAGCTGTGCCTTAAAACAAAAACGATCAACTGGCGATAACAGAGCATGCACGGAAGATGCTGCAGGACAGGAAATGAGCGATGACCATGCCATTTATCTATAGTATGTGAGGAGAAGAGCCATATTGATTAGTGACTCACTGTGTCCAAATCAATCCATGGGTTTATCGTGGAAAGCTGTACTCTGAAAAGCTGAGTGGAAAGCTGAGTCAAAAAAATTAATTGCAGATACTTTCTGTTTCACAAGGATTTGCAAAACTGTAGAATGTTCCCTTTATAAATTATCTTCTATTTTCCAAAAAAAAAATTCTTAAAGGGAGCATTTTACAGTGTAAAAGAAGCTACTCCACACTATCAGAGACATTTGCAAGTCAGAGCAGGCAGGGTGACAGTGGATGGTTTTTTCTCCATTACAGTTTTACAAAATTGCTAAGTCACATTTCTTGAAACCTTCACCCATTTTCTCAAAACTTTAAACACAAAACCAAATTTTTAAACTACATTCACAAAACCTCTGACTGTTCTGGCAAAATCAAACAATGCTTTCAGAACATAAACACAGCCAGTAAATATATAAACACTATAGCGCATTCATTAGACACTACCTCGAAAAATTGAGAACACAGCATCCAGGGCATGTGGTTACTGACAAAAGATATCTCTTTTTTTGTGTGTATAGGAAATACATTTTGCAAATTTAAAAAAGTATAGTAATCACAACTTACAGTTTTTCTCGATTGCTTAAACACATTTCTTGAAACTATGCCTCTCCTTCTCAAAACACTAAACACAAATCCACAACTTCTCAACCAATTCCCCAAACATCCTATTTTCAGGTCAAAATGAAGCTCTCCACTCAAAACCATTCAATCTTGCTGAAAAACTCAGACATTACACACAAGCCCTCAAAAACACATGCTGCAACACAGTGTGCTGTACAGTACAACACACCAAACAAGAAATTATTCTGCCCCAGCATCCTGTCTTTGGTCTGAAACAGGCCAGAAATTCTTGTTCTCCACCTCCTACTCCTCCTCCCTCTACCTTCTCCACCTCCTTCTTTACCTCCTCCTCCCTCCTCTGCCCTACTCCTGCTCCACCTCCTCCTCATCTTACTCCTATCCCACCTCCTCCAACTCCTACTGTTCCTCTTCCTTCACCCCTGCTCCTCTCGATACTGCTCTTCCTCCTCCTCCTCTCTGGTGTCCTCTACCTCTTCCTTCAGATTTCTCTGGACCCATTGTTCCAAAACTGAATGTACTGACTCTGGTGTGTTATCAATTTTGACTGTTTGTTTCCACCTTGGTATCTGTGTGCTAATTGAGCTCAACCTGTGCTGATTGATTGAACAATGTTGAATGTTAGTGCTTTCTCTCTTTTAGTTCAAAAGCCTGCTTATAGTGTTTAAGTAATGGAGAAAAACTGTAGTACAGTGAAATATTATAGACTATAGGCACTGCACACACAAAATGCAAAATGCCTCATAAGTCCTTCATAATAAAACACTCCATTCACAATGCCATACACATTTCTCACAATAAAGCATTTGCATCAAATCACAAACACTTTTAATAGTACATTTTTGGATATGCCATGCACACACAGTTGTTCTAAATCTAAAGTCCTTTTGTCTTTCATAGGGTTTTGTGTACAATTCCATACAATGTTCTAGAGTGAAAGTAATCTGCTAAAATGTGCTGGGAAGTACACTGTAAACGCCAATGAAACAGCACATATTTTTTTGGCAAAACATTACAGTTGTAACAGTAGCACAGTGTTGTATCCAGCAGCATACAAGGAAAGGAAACCATATGTAAACCAAAAGTATCATTTCTACCTTTATTGCCAAAAATTTATGTTTACAGTACTGTACTGCACTGATTGTTGCAACCTGTTCTAATTTCTGAAGGTTCAAATTATGGATCCCACTGTAAAGCAATTCTAGTTGGGCTTCTCTCATTGTCAACCTGTGGTTCATCACGTGATCAATAAGTGTGGCCCTGATCTCATCAGTGATGGTTCTCTTTCCGTCTCTTCTTTGCCATCGTCCTCCTCCTCTTTAAACTCCTCCTCCTTGAACTTGTCCTCGTTGTCGTCCCCTGCCTCTCCCTCCTACTCTCCTTGCTCTCTGTCCATTGTTGGCATCCATTGTTAAAAACAGGAAATCTGACCTTTGATCTATGTATAGGTTTACTGTATACTAAAGTAGTGATTAGTTATTGATCAGTAAAGCATTTAGTGTCTGCACATGTGAGGAGTGGCTACATGACCTGGGGAGAGTTCAGTACCGGCAAAACGTGTGTTTTTTGTGTTTTTTTCATTTTTTTTTTTTCAACGGAAACGGTGTTGCCTCGAACACCCTGTTGTGTACGCAAGCACACTGCATTTCCCTGCCTTCATAACACCGTTGTGTTTACAAACTTGTAGCAGCTGATTGGGTAACACCTATGACACGCCCACCAAATAGGAGAAAACATACCTCGAAGCCCATTGCGGAATGTTGCACAATGTTGCAAGGAAGCATGTTGTTCAATCCGAAAATGTTGCAAACCGGTGCAAAACGTTTTGAGATTGTACTCGCCCCTGGTGAAGAAGTGTAGCATTTTGATTGGTTGTTTGGAAAAGGAAAGCAGGTCACTTCCTGTTGGATTTTTGTGTCTTAGGTAGAGAATTGTGTGTAGTATTTTGAAATAAGTGTTAGTGTAAGCAGTTGTAAAGAGAACTCTAAATGAAAAGCACATTACACCCAAAAATGTTGCACAGCTGCATAATCAAAGTCAATGAGAGATTCATTCTGCCTCAGCATCACGTCTTTATGCTGGGTCCGGCCAGAGGACTTTGTTCACATCACATGCAACCGTGTCCCTTTCCAGGTAACGGTGGAAAAACCCTCTGGTGTGCTGGATTCAGCCAGTGTCTAACTACCTGAACTTGTTTAAGGTTTTGCCAAAAGAGTGATTGATTCGACAAATGGATTTAGGCCACTAAGAATTTGGTTCAGAGAGTGGGGTTTAGAGTTTTAACAATTCCGAAAAACTTATCACTGTAGCGTAATGTCAGATTATTTCTTTGTTTTATTTTCAGACCCATCACAGCTGGACTTGGTTCTGGTCATTGTTAGCTTGGTGGCTGGCTCCTCAGTGGTCACAGTGACACTGCTGCTGGTGTGGCTGGCCTACCGTCGCCGGGCAATCTGGCTGCTCCACTCGGCAGCGCCGCCACGAGCCTGCTGTGGCTGTCTGCGCCCAGGAGGTGACTTGATCCTACCGTGACCAAGGAGGAACCACTGCCAATTACACTGATCACGTCCTCACCAAAATAGCAGCCGACAATTACATTAGTCAACAGACAGTGGAGCAGTCAATCATATTATCCATAGAGCAGAGGCGGCCAGTCAGCCGGTATAGGCCAGACTAGATGATGAGAAGCAATCCAATTTACACCTCCTCTCATAGGTGACACAGCTGTTGCAGTTGAATTCCACACTTAACCACGAGCAGTCTATTATCATTCACTGAAAATAAACATCATCCTCAAATAGAAAATCTACTCTGATACCTTTTATTTTCCCTCAGTGTCAACAAATCAATACTCTTTGTATCTGACTTTGAGATTGATTGCTCATTAATACTGGTTTAAAATAATCTATGCATTCGTGGCTTGAT